CCGTGCGGTGACCCCGAACCCCCCCCCCACCGACGCACCGCACGGCGTGGTCACCACCCCGTTTTGGGGGCCCCCGGGCGCCCCGTGGCCGCACTCGCGAACGCCCGGCCATGGCGTCGAATTCGCCGTGCTGGCCGCGCGGCGGCGGGCGCGGCGTCACCCCGGCCCCACGGGGCCCTCCGGCCCCGCCGCGGCTGCGGGCGCCGCTGGGCACGACGGGGTGCCCAGCATCCTCCTCGGCGGTGGGGCGCCCGGCGGAGGCGGCGGGGCGGGGCCCGCAGCGCGCGCCGCGATGCCGCCCCCCCAGCCCTGTCGGCCAAGCAGGGCGCGAGCCGACCGGAGCTTTTGGGCGCTGCCATGGGCCGCTTCCGTTTCGATCTCCCGCTGCAGCGGGAAGGCCGGAGCGCACACGGACCCGAGGGAAAACGAGAACGGAACGAAGACGGGGAGTACTGTTCGGCTCGCGCCCTGCCTCCAAGGAGACCTGCGTGCGAGAGTGCACGCAGCCGCGCCCGCGCGCAAGAGGTGGCCCAGCGCCGACACAAGAACTCCGCGCGGAGCTCCGAAAGCTTATCTTTGTGCGGTTGCTTCTGGTTCGCCTCTGCCCCCTGCTGCTGCTGCTGCTGCTGCTGCTGGGCCCTTCCAACCGTGGGAGCAGGGCGGAGGCCCGCGAGACCCCCCGAAGGCGAGGGGCCCCCTCGCCTCCTGGCGGAGCGCTGCGCCTGCAGCGCCACCCACGCGGCACGGCAGAGCTGTCCTGCGTCCTCCTCCTGCGTCCTCCTCCTCCTCCCTTCTCCTTCTCCTCCTCCTCCTCTTCCTCCTCCTCCTCCTCCTCCTCCTCCCTCCTCCTCCTCCCTACTCCTCCTCCTTCCTCCTCCTCTCCTCTCCTCGGTGGCGAGGGTGCGACACCATCTCCTCCTCCTCCTCCTCCTCCCCTCTCCTCCTCCTCCTCCTGCGTCCTCCATCCTCCTCCTCTCTCTCCTCATCCTCTCTCTCTCCTCTACTCTCCTCCTTTCCCTCGCCCCGTGGCGAGGGGGCGACACCACCTCCTCCTCTCTCTCCTCCACCTCCTCTCTCTCCTTCCTCCTCCTTCCCCTCCTCTCCTCCTCCTCCTCCTCCTCCTCTTCTTCCTCCTTCTCTTCCTTCTCCTTCTATCTCTCTCTCTCTATCTCTCTCCCCATCTTTCCGTCCTCCTCCTCCTTCTCTCCTCTCCTCCTTCTCCTCCTCCTCGTCCTCTCCTCCTCCACTCCCTCCTTCCTCCTCTCCATCCTGCATCATTATCCTCTCCCCTCTGTCCTCCCCCTCTCTCCTCCCCTCCTTCTCCTCCCCCCCTCCTCCTCTCCTCTCTCCTCCTCCTCCCTCCTCCCTCCTCCTCCTCCTCCTCCTCCTCCTCCTCCTCCTGCTCCTTCTCGTATCCTACTCCCCCCCTATTTCCCGGGCGCGCGGGCGGCACGTCGCCGCGTGCTCGGCGGCGGCGGGGGTCAAACAAACTGCAGGGAGACAGACTGCAGTTGAGGAGAGCAGAGAGACAAACTGCAGGTCTGGGCGCCGTGAAGTCCGCGGGCACCAGGGCGTGCGAGACGGTCAGGCGTCTGTCAAAGCGAGCGGTGGGCTGCACCGGAAGCTCATATACAGGCATATAGCGGAAGAGCAAACGACGAGAGAAAAAGACAAGGACGGAACCCGATCTGACAATATTCGGGAGGGGAAACAACACACAGACACGATTGATCTTCGATTCCCAAGAGAATATTGGAAACTATGGGAAGTGTGCGTGGGGGGGGGGGGGAAACGAAAACCTGGAAAACATGGGGAATTATAGGGGATCATGGGATTTGTGCGTATTTTTTGTGTCCCTGGGCCCCTTCAAATATAGGTCGGCGCGGGGATCTCATGCTTGGATATAGCTGACGCAGCAAAGCTCCGGTTGCGCCGCGGGAAGCTGGCTCCCGCCCGTCGAGGGTTGAGGCCAGAAGATCGTATCGTGAGGCCAGTAGATCGAGGTGCGCGGGCGGGAAAGCAACAATAGGAAGCCAGATGCGAACCCTACACCACCACCCAACGATTTCTAAGGGGGGTGGTGGGTTAGGGTTCGCATGTGGCTTCCGAATCAAGCCAGGTGCCCAGCGCGCCCGACAGGTTTGAGGGGGCCGCTCAATTCTGCAGGGGCCCGTGGGAGAGGAGTGCAGTCACGGGGCGCGGAAGGACACGCAGTCAAAATCCATACCGAGGGCGCAGGGTGAGGATGCAGGACATTCGGGCGTTACACTTACCATGAAGAGCTCCTTGGACGCCAACAGTGGCTCAGGGTGGGCCGAAGAAGCAGAGATGGGAAGCGCATCCTTGCTATGGATGTTGACTGCGCTAGTACTGCGCGTCTCCTTGGAGTCGCACGCTCGAAACGAACATGTACACCAAACATCACATCGCGCATCATCACCCAGGCGGTATCCCCAGAAAGCGCCCGCCGCAGAACATATACCACCCAATGCCTCCGCGCGCGCGTCGCCCCTGGGTGGGGAGCGCCGCGCACATAGTAGACCTATGAATGGGTGATGTCGGCGCCAAGTTTCTGACACAGAAGGAACGCTACATTAGAAACGATGGGCCAGGAATGACACAAGAGGCATACAGTCATCGTCACCTCTGACTACAATCCAGACCATGTTGTCCGTCCAATTGGCTCTCCGTTCGTCAGGTCGCCCCACTCACTGGTCAGCCGCGCGGAGCCCCCTGCGCGAAAGGTCCCCGGCGGATGCGCTCGCACCTCGACGGGAAGCACGATGACTTCTCGTGTTTCCTGTCGCCCGAGCGGCTCCGAACCCCCCCCCCCCCCGGAGGTCCCGAGCGCTTTCTGCGCGGTCGCGACGAGGTCGACGTCGTCCCCGTCCAGCAGCCTCCGCACGGCGTCGGCGTGCGCAGCGGCGGCCCCGCCCATCCTGCCCAGCGCCTCCGCGGCGCCCTCCTGCAGTGAAGCGGCAACTGGCAAGACCGAAGAGCTGGCATTGGGACGACGCAAAACATACCAGTATCATGCGCCCCCCCTTGGATGCGCACATCCGAACCAAACATGCAAGACACATTATCTTCTGGTAGACTGCTACCGAGGCGATCTCCGAGCATCTTCGAAAGGTGGAGGTCAGAGGGTGAACTCCCAAGAACAGTTTGGCCACGAACACCGCCTTTGGTCACCCGCCAAACAGTGACCGATGCGCCCGCACACTGTCGGCAGCGCAAATTTCAAGCTCCGCGCCCGCACATTCAAGCGCCGAGCGGGCTCCACGCCCTGTTTCCGATTGGTGGCGGGCGGTGTTTGGCCGTGTGGCCAAGGGACAGCCCGCCACCGAGCATCTGCTATTGAGAAGGCGAAAACCCACCCCCACCCCCAGTCCCGACTCCATCCCCGAACCCGCGATTCAAGGAGTCGGGACTGGGGGTGAAGGATGGGTTTTCGGGGTCCACCCCACCCCCAGTCCCGGCCCCTTGAATCGCCGGCTCGGGGATGGGCGTCGGGACTGGGGGTGGGGGTGAATTTTCGCCTTCTGAGCTATGAAATGTTTAGCGCGCGCGTCGCCCATGGGGGCTGACGCACACGTGGAAGTATGTTCCAGTGACGCCGATGAGATGGGCACCGCCCGCGGCGACACCGGCAACGAACATCCTGCTGAACATGGGCAAAGCCTGCTGTCGGTGTCCGTACGCCCTGCTTCCGTAGCCATCTGTCCCCCGGGGGCAAGTCGGGAGCGGCCAAGAGGGGGGTGTGCAAGAGGGGGGGTGTGCAAATCACGACCAGCGGCATGTGCGCGGCCCAGCAGGGGGGGCCAGGGACGTAGCGAAACAAGCAGAGCCGCCATGAGATCTTGGGAAATATCATGCCCCCCGCCCTGATATCCCCCCCCCCTAGTCATCACCCCCTTATTTTCCGCCCCCGAGTAAGGGGGGGGCTGGCTCTGTGTATGGGGTTAGAGTACAAAGGTACAGAACCCTTGATCCGTTGGTAGAGGAAAGGAGGGAAAGATGGATATCTTTTCCCCCTGCACGATCAAAGGTCTGATCGATCTAATCCAATACCTGAGCCCAAACGGCCAGGCGCAGGAGAGGTGAGGATAAGGAGTATATATGAGGGTATTATACGGGCTCTATTCACAGGCCCAGGGCGGGAGGCGTGGACCTGGCCTCGGCGAAGGCCTCGCCGCTGCGCCGGCGATACCACATAGGACCTCTCGGCGTGCGAAGCCGCGCGCTCTTTTCGGCGGGGAACGGGGCCCGGGCCCCGAGCGGAGAGAAATGGGCGACGGAGGGTCGACGCGGCGCATACCGACTCCTGGGGCAGCCCCTACAGGGCAGCTTTTAATACATAGGATGTCCAAAAACTATAGGATGTTGAAATACGTGGTTAATTTGTGAAAAAAGTATGCATGACCTCGTCGTTGTTTTGAATGCCAAATCCCTGCATGTTTGATACAGGATCCGCACGCGGAGCATGTATGAAAAACGGCACTGTAGACCCCAGACGAACAACAACTGCATAACCATAAGCCTGCGAGGCCTGCGCGGATCTATCGGATCGGCGCTGGACCCCCCTTGCTGGCTCGCGATCTATCGGATCGGCGCTGGACCCCCCTTGCTGGCTCGCGCAGCGCGCCAGGGGCGGCGGCGGAGGTTCCGCCAGGGGGGTCCACAGCGCAATCCAAGAAATCCGCGCGGAACTCTGAAAATCTGTATGTTTAGAACTCATGCTTGCACTAGTCGCGTTTAAGACGGTGACTGGCCCCGCCCCCCCATGGTCAGGTCACGATTCGTCCTGGTGCCGTCCACTGGCAATGAGCCATGTTTAGGCATTCCCAGACGGCGACGGCGCGAATCCTGACGTGACTGGCCCCCCTCCCTCTCCCCTCTGCCACGGCCGTTGTCGCAAGGGGATGGAGAAAAGAGGCCCCCGCATGGGATCCCAGAGAGTCTGTCAGTCGGGGATGGACAGACCTCCCTCTAGTAAAACGTGGTTCAGCGAAAACGACCTGAGGCCCAAACCTGGCGGGCGCGAGCCTGGAAAAAAAACGGCCGCGGCGCCCTCTCGAGAACCGAAAACGGACAATTCACTAATCGACGCGTCACTGTTGGGGTTTCTGTCCACCCCCGACAGAGATCGGGAGCGGCCAAGAGGGGGGTGTCCAAGAGGGGGGGGTGCAAATCATGACCGGCGGCATGTGCGCGGCCCAGCGGGGGGGCCAGGGACGTAATGAAATAAGAAGAGGCGCCATGAAATCTGGGGAAATATCGTGGCCCCCGCCATGAACCCCCCCCCCCGCCCTAGTCATCACCCCCTTCTTTTCCGCCCCCGACAGAGAGTCTGTCAGGCGGGGAGATGGAGCCCAATCCGGTCAGACTCGGCACCCGGCAGCCTTTCACCCTGGACATCCGTCTTTGACGAGCCCGGGTGGCCCGAGGCCGGGCCCGGACGCCACAGGAGGCAACACCGCCTTCCAGAGCCTCGAGCCTGCCCCCCCCCCCCCCCGTTCCTGCTGGCGGGATGACGACAACGGGCCCTTGCGCAGGTTTAGGAGGCCACATGAACCCTACCCCTACCCCCCACGATTTCTGAGGGGGAGGGTGGGGCTCCCTTTGCTCGGGAGCTCCCGAACGAAGCGAACCCCACCCTCCCCCTTAGAAATCGTGGGGGTAGGGGTAGGGTTCGCCCGTGGCCCCCGAAGGTTGTCTTCTTCGACCCTGGCTGCCTGCACGGACGCGTCGCTGTCTCGCAGCAGGGGCGCCAGCTCGGAGGCGCGGCCCGGCGACCCGGCGCAGAGCTGCCCCAGGGCCCGCGCGGCGACCGCCCGGAGCTCCGCGCTGGGGTCCTGCAGCAGCCTGGCGATCTCGCCCGCGAAGGGCTTCCGGTAGAAGGGCAGGAGAGGGCATGAAAAGTTGGGAGGCAGCTCCTGCGAGGTCGTCGCGCGAACGCTGGCAGCCAACCCGTGTCACAAGGACGCGCGACAGGGATGCAGGGGCCCTGGACGGCCATGTGGACACTCTGCGGGCGGGGCGCGGCCCGCGGAAGCGGCCACGGGCGGGCCGAAGGGGAAGGACGCACTGGTGGCTTTGGAAAGCCCCTCGTCTGTTCTGTGCGGTGACGAACCAACAGCGCACCCCCATACCCATAAAGGGGGGTCGGAGGGAGGAGGACTGGCTACGGGTCTGGGTGGGGAACGTCGGACCCCCGTGGGAGGCTCCCGTTCGAGCGGGGGCCCCCATCTGACAACACGCACCCACGGCCCCCTCCGTCCCCCCTGTGGGTATGGGTGCGTGTTGACCGTGCGCCGGGAGAAGGCATAGATGAAGGGGAACTGGGACACACAAATAAATACACACAAATAAAATGATCCCCCATATTTTCCTATATTTTCTGGGTTTTTGTCTTCCCCCCACTTCCCATACTTTCATATATTTTCTGGGAATCGCCGATTAATTGTGTCTGTGTGTTTTTCCCCCTCCTGAATAGACGCAAGGAGGCAACTCCTGGGAGGCCTCCGCGCGACCAGTGCTGAGGGCTAGGAAGACCGACGGAGGGGCCGCCGAGCGGGGTCGGGCCAGATGGAGCCCGAGATCAAAGCGGATGTTGAGCCATACGGGACAGGATTTGGCCGGATGCAGCGGCGCCCGATGCATCGGCGACGTCGGCGATGCATCGGCGACGCCGGCATCGAGCCGCACCGCCGATGCATCGGCGATGCGGCGCGATCCTCCGACACCATCTACTCGGTCCCCGCTCGGGAGGCTTAGATTACCGCAATTTCGTGTTTGTGTACCCGAGTCATCAGAAAAAAAAAAAAAAAAAAAAAAAAAAGGTTTGGCGTCCTCTGATGTGATCTGGACAACTCCTGGAGTCGGTTGATCCGGAATGACTCCTGCTGCAAGCAATCGCTGATTCTGGGCCACTGGCGGCGTTCAACCTTGAACGCCCGTGGCGGGGTCGCAACCGCGTCGACGCGACGCGAATCTGCCGTACAGTGTGACCGCTCATCAAAAAAAACGCATGCTGCTCGTCAGGGCACCTCGGATTTCTCCGCGGTGACTTCCGCGGGCGCTAAGACGCTGCTGCATTCAGAGTGCTCTGGGGTTCAGTGCACCCCAGGTTCGTATTTGCAGGCATTGGTTCCTTGAGAGGGCTTCTCGCGGCCCCACCCGCGCTGCAAGCTTGTGCAGGTCTGCGCGGGTCTCTGGGGTCGGCGCCGGGGGACGTCCACCCCCGACCCTAGAACTCCGTGCGGACCTTCGACAGGTCATGTGTATCAAGGCCTCCCCACATGGGGTCCGAGCAGACGGGCACGGAGGATCGAGCCGCATCGCCGATGCATCGGCGATGCGGCGCGATCCTCCGACCCCGTCTGCTCGGCCCCCTTGTGGAAGGCCAGGAGTTGATGACCTCCCTGCCCTTCCGTCCCGACGTCGCCCAGCTCGCCCAGGGCCTCGGTCGCAAACCAGCGGGGGCCCGCGGGCTGGTCGCCGGCCAGCAGCTGCGCCAGCCTGGCCGCCACCGCCGCGGGCACGCCGCCGATCTGGCCCACCGCCCACGCGGCGGTCTGCTTGGTCTCCGGGTCGTCGCTGCCCAGCAGCGCGGCCACCTCTGGAAGAGGAACAGTCGCGAGAGGCAACGGCACAATGGGGGGGGGCTGGAGTAGCTCGAGGGGAAACGTCGGCCGACAGATCGGCGAGAGGCCCCCGATGATATTAGCAACTCCGCACGTTCCTGGGCGGGGTGTGGCCATCAGACCCCTATCGGCGATCGATGGGCGAGTGGTGGTCGATGCATCTTTTTTGTTGCCCCTGAGAGGGGGCGTCCACTGCCCACCTCGCCGATCCTGGCAAGGCCCGGCTGGGGCCAGGAGACTGGTGCCCGCGCCCTCCCGTTGCTCGACGGGCGAGGCGGTAGAGCACCTCCCCCTGGGCCCAGATTTCGGTCGGGCATGTCTACAGGCTGATTTGGGAGGAAACATAGAAATGACTCGAGCAAAAACTTTAACATATCAACAACATGTTGTCCCAATACTGCTTTTTAAACAAAAATATGTGTTTTGAAGATTCCTCCTGAAGAAGGACGTGCCCGATTTCAGCACAGGGCGGGCGTGGTGGTCCGTGGACGCCGCCCGACACAGGCAGGGGGGGGAGGAGGCCAGAAGGGGGCAGGAGGGGCGAAGGGGGCGGGGGGTTTGGCTCCAGCCCTCGTGGGCGTTTGCTCATTCGGCGTTTCGACACTGGCCAGGAGGGGGAGGAAGGGGGGGGGTCTGGCTCCGGCTCTCTGCATAAGGCAGCTGTCTGCAAGAGTGCGTTTTGTGGGGGAGGCTTCACCTGCTTGGAGTAGGCGCCCCCCCCAAAAAGCTAAGATCCACTCCAATAGTGGAAACGACTGCATAAACATGCCTTTTGGCGCTCCGCGCGGATTTCTTGGATCTACGCCAGACCCGCCTCCCTGGCGCGCAGACCGCGCTAAGGGCGGCGCCAGAGGCGCCGCGGAGGGGGCCCAGTGCGGGTCCAAGAAATCCGCGCGCAGCGCCAAAAGTTTATGCTTATGGCGTTTTTCTTCTTCGATCCAAGGGGGGGTGGGGGGTGCGAGGGCCCGCGCCGATGGGCCAAGCAATGAACAAAAGAACGATCACCAGACGTAGGCGTGCGCCTTCAGAGGCATCCGCGCGGGCGTCGGACCCCTCGTGGGCATGCTGGCGCGCGGAGCGCCCCGCGAAGAAGGTCGGGCATGTCCTCCTACAGGCGGATTTGGGAAGGCAAATCAGAATTAGTCACAACAAATCCCCCAACATGTTTGTTCAACACATGGCAGACAAATCGCCCCCATGTTATTGTTTGACTATTTTTGAATCTTCCCCCGCTAGAGGGACGTGACCCTTGAGTGGCAAATCAGACATAGTCACAACAAATCCCCCAAGAAGTTGAACCCATGACAGAAAGATCGCCCCTGGGCTATCGTTTGACTATGTTTGAATCCTCCCCCGGTGGAGGGACGCGCCCGACTGAACCCTTCGAGTGGCGGCGCCGGAGGCGCCGCCGGGGAGCCCAGCGCCGACCCGGGGAGGTCCGAGCGGTCCTCCGAAGAGACTCATGGTTCGAGCAGAGGGGTCGACTACAGAATGGATCTGCCCCAAATTCTCTCGTCGAGCCTGCAACACAATACGTATACTGTTCGTGTGTGTATATATAGTATATATATATGCCCCCAAGAAAATCATTCATTGTATCTTGAATCGTATTCACGTTATTCATCTTCTCATTCATCCTTCCCTTCCCTTCTTCCGTCCTCCACCTTCTCCAAACACAGTTCCTCTTCCTCCTCCTCCTCGCCCATCCTCCTCCTCCGCATTATCCTTTCCGTTTCCTCCTCTTTATGAAAACACAAAAAAACAAACATACATAGTGTTTGGCGACCTCAATGCAAGGAAACGCTGTGTATGTACGGTTGTTCTGTTTTTTGGGGGTCTAGGATGCAAGGAACCACTGTGTATGTTTTGTTATTTGGTTTTATGGGTTTTGGAAGCTCAAGTGCTCCCCGCGGCCTCCCCGCCAGCACCTCCTCTTTTCTTGTCCTCCTCCTGGTTGCAAAGCAAGAAAGCCAAACATACACAGCGTGTGGCGCCCTCGGTGCAAGGAAACGCTGTGTAGTTTAGTTGTTTCTGGTTTTTTGTTTGTTGAGGATGCAGGGAAACATGGTGTATTTGGGGCTATTCTGGTTTTTCTGTCTGGGGGCTTGCAAGCCCAAGTGCTCCCCGCGGCCTCCCCCCAACACCTCCTCCTTATTTTCCGGAGCTCCCAAACCCAAGCAACCAAAATACCAAAACATACGCAGTGTGTCCTTGTATCCCAAACCCCCCCAACAAAAACAAGAACAACCAAGCATACACAGCGTTTCCTTGCACCGAGGGCGCCACACACTGTGTATGTTTGGTCTTCTTGCTTTGCAACAGAGAGGAGGAAAGGAAAGGAGGAGGTGCTGGGAGGAGGCCGCGGGGAGCACTTGAGCTTGCAAAACAAAAACAAACTATTCACAATGTTTCCGTGTACCCCAAAACCAGAAAAAAAAATAAAAATAAAAAAAAACAAAAAAAAAAAAAAACGCAGCGTTTCCTTGCATCGAGGGCGCCAAACACTGTGTATGTTTGGTTCTCTTGCTTTGCAACAAGGAGGAGGAAACAAAAAAGGAGGAGGTGCTGGGAGGAGGCCGCGGGGAGCACTAGAGCTTCCAAAACCAAAAAAAAAACTAAATAACCAAACATACACAGTGTTTCCTTGCATCCTAGACAAAAAACAACAACACAACAATACACAGCGATTCCTTGCATCGAGGGCGCCAAACACTGTGTATGTTTGGTTCTCTTGCTTTGCAACAAGGAGGAGGAAACAAAAAAGGAGGAGGTGCTGGGAGGAGGCCGCGGGGAGCACTAGAGCTTCCAAAACCAAAAAAAAACACAATGTTTCCTTGTACCCCAAACCCAAAACACAAGAACAACAACATACGCAGCGTTTCCTTGCATCGAGGGCGCCAACCACTGTGTATGCTTGGTTCTCTTGCTTTGCAACAAGGAGGAGGAAAAGGAAAAGAGGAGGCTGGGAGGAGGCCGCGGGGAGCACTAGAGCTTCCAAAACCAAAAAAAAAACTAAATAACCAAACATACACAGTGTTTCCTTGCATCCTAGACAAAAAACAACAACACAACAATACACAGCGATTCCTTGCATCGAGGGCGCCAAACACTGTGTTTTCTTGCATTTTGTGTTACTACAAAGAGGAGGAAGCGGAAAGGAGAATGAGGAGGAGGAGGATGGGCGAGGAGGAAGAAATGTGTTTGGAGAAGGGGAGAAGGGAAGGATGAATACGAAGATGATGAACGTGAATACGAATCATGATAAAATGTATGATCTTGGGGGGGGTGCAAACATCTATATACTTATATAGATATGCACTATGCGCATGTTCCGTATATTCGACGAAACAATCGAGTTTAGTGTAAATCAATCCTGTTGTCGACCCCCTACTCGAATGTTGATGCCGTTTTCGGTGTTCTCCCCGCGCCTCCTGCAAGAAGGGCCTGGACACCTCGCCCAGAGCCGCCAGCCCCCTGGGCGCCGGGCAGTGAAGCTCCGTGCCTGTCTGCCGTTTGGCCATCATCGGCGTGCCTCTTGATCCCCACGCGACGAGTTTGGGCGAGGGACGCACTCCCCGCGCCGTCTCTCCTGCGGCGGCATCCTGGCCGTGTCGTCCCCCCCCCCCCGCCGCCCAGGAGGAGGAGGAGGAGGAGGAGGAGGAGGAGGAGGAGGAGGAGGAGGAGAGGGAGGAGGAGGGGAGGAGGAGCAGGAGTTTGGGAGAACAGAACTCCCAGCCCGCCTCGCACACACTGCCTGCCGCGGCCGCCAGGTCCCAGAGGTCCCCGGGCTCCCTGGGGATCCCGCCTCGCGTTCTGACGCATGGCGTTCGCATGCCGCGGCCGCCAAGCCCCAAAGGGCACGGTGCTCCCTGGGGACCCCGTCTCGCGATCCTGGTTCGGGATCGCTCGATGCAGATCATTTCTTGGTTCTTCTGATCCCGTTGTGTCTACCGCGAGATGGGCTATGGGAGTTCCCACGGCGGGACCACAGGAACAGCTGGTTTTGTGCCTCAGCGCCCCAGCTGCTCTGGGCTGTCCCCCGATTGCAGCAGGGGCGCCGCGGGGTAGCTAGGGTGGCTCAGGTGAGGCCCCGAAGAAGGCCTCGAAAAACCTCGCCGTCCTCGTGATGCTGCCCCAGTCTCATCCTCTGCCTACAGGATTCGGACGTAGACAATAGAAGTGTTGCAAAATTGATGTCGCACTTGACGTGTTCAATGCTCGAACTCCCCACTGCAATATGTCGCCAACACCCCATCTACGACATGGTCGTTACTTTCAACAACATCGCCTTTATCACACCATTCATTGCCATCGTCGCCGTCATCACGTTCACGCAGATCATGAAACTTACCCTGAACGTTGTCCACAAAACCGTCATCATCATCACCATCATCATGCTCTTCAAACTTGACATCGACATAGCCGTCATCGTGGAAGTGGCGACGTTAAGCTCAATTATACCCCGCTCGTCGTCATTATCATCGCTGTGGACAGCATCGCCGTGATCGTGAGTATCGACTAGGACTGCAGGCGCTGGTCCAGCCAACGCCATGGATGCCCTTCTGGCCCACACGATCAGGACGACTTCGGCGCATGAACAAGATGCTGGGAACCCATCGGTGGACGACGATCGCAGGAGGCGCACTGAGTACCCTGCCACGGTTTCTGGGCCCCGACGTGGTGCCGCGAAGCGCTCTGGATACCCCAGCGCCTCAACGGCCCAATACTTGCAATCGTCGTCCGGATCGGCGAGCAGGCGCGCGACGCGCCGGGCAATCGGCTCCACCGCCTCCCTCTGGGTGAGGTGCGTGCGCCGCCGCTTGCAGCCGTCCTCGCCCACGGAGATCCCCAGACCTGGGCGCTCTGTCTTCAGCATCCTCCCGAGGGCGAAGGCCGCGTTCTGGCGCACCTCGCACGCGCGCGAGACAAGTCCCTAAGACAGACGGCCTCGCGCCCGGGACCCCTCAGCCGCGATCCCACGGATACGGGGCGAGCCTGCGCGCACGCTCCGCGCCGAACGCACCCGTGGGATGCTGCCTCGGCATCCAGGCAGCACGGCGCGCTTCAGCATGGGTGCCTCCCGCTGGAGCCGAGCAGGGAGAAGGGGCCCACCCTGCAGCCTCGGTGAAACAACACGTCGTGGAGCGGTGGGTGCTGAGCACAGACCTGAAGGGGCCTCGGGACACACACATAAATACACACAAATAACAGGATTCCCAATATTTTCCCATATTTCTTCGGAATTTCGTCTTCCCCCCCGTTGTCCGTATTTTCCATATTTTCCTGGGAATCGACGATTAATTGTGTCTGTGTTTTTGTCCCCTCCTGAAGACCTCCCACCCCCAGAGCATCTGCCAGACAGGTCTGGTGTGCGCCCGCATGCCTTGCTCGGCTCTGGGCGCGTGTCGGCACCCTCTCCCCAAAAACCTCGCCGGGGCCAGCGGCAGGGGAGAGGGCGGCAGCGGCCAGACAGCGAGGGCACGGACGAGGACATGCAGCCAACCCGTAGAATCAAGATGCGCGGCAAGGACGAAAGGGTTAGGTCGGGCCTGTCCCCCCAACAGGAGGGTTTTGGACGAAGAAAAACCAAACGCACCCAACACATACTCCCAAATGGTTTTGAAAAAAAGCTCCAAAGATCGTCCCCAGACTAAGTTTTGTGACTATTTCTGAATTAATATCCCCCCTGTGGTTAACGAAAATGCTCCAAAGATCGTCCCCAGACTAATTTTTGCGACTATTTCTGAATTAAGATCCCCCCTGTAGAGGGACAGGCCCGACTTAACAAGAGGGCCTGTAGGGGGCCACGCTGACGACCTTCGAGCGGGGCGCGTCCCGCGAGAGTGGCCGAGGACGGGCCGGAAGGGGCCAGGCCCTGCAGGGCACCCTGGGAGAGGTTTGCTCGTCCTTCTCATGCGGGTCGACTGCTTTCGATGACGTCAAGCTCGTGTCGTGCCGACTTCGGCGCTGGTTCCTGACACCGCGGGGATCGCTCAGCCCTGGACGATCAGCCTTATCCGAAACGTCCAAATCGTTCCACATCGAACGATCCTGGGTCGCCAGCGGCGTTCGACGTTGAACGCCGCTGGCGGGGTCGCCGCCGGTCGACGCGACACGGACCTACCGTACCCATCGGTCGGAAGAAGTAGCTAGAACCATGGAGTAGGACGGCGTTGAAAAAAAATGTGGGTTCCGTCCGCCCCCAAAGAAGGACGGGAAAGGTGAAGCCGCTCTGTCATTGAAGTAGGGCGGCGCTTAAAGTGAGTTGGAACCTGGGAATCCAAACTGCATACTTTCAACGGCCGATGGGCAGTTCCGCTCAACCTCGGCCCTGGGGCCCCTCGCGCGATCCCCCCTCGGGCCAGCCGGCCCTCCAGGGGGCCGAGACCGACGAGCCAGGCTTGGTCCTCAATGCCTCGATGTTTTGTGGCGGTCGGAGGAGGAGGAGGAGGAGGAGGAGGAGGAGGAGGAGGAGGAGGAGGAGGGGAAGGAGGAGGAGGAGGAGGAGGAGGAGGAGGAGAACATCGTCTTGCCGTCGCTCAGACGCCCGTCCCCCGTGCCTCTTGCGGCTCGTGCACCCGGTTCTCGCAAGATGGTCCAGGAGGCTCCTCCACAGGGCAGTTTTTAATACATAGGATCTGTTTTCAAACAAAGAAACAAACAAACCATGGGAGTTTTAATACATGAACAACTTCTGGATAAATGTGTGCATGAACGTATCGTTGTTTTTTATGCTAAATCCCTGCATTTGTAACACATGATCCGCACGCGGAGCATGTACTAAAAACGGTCCTGTTTGGGAACAGCACCGTTGCATAGTCGTTTGTCACTGCTGTGGCGCAGTGGCCCGCGCTGGTGTAACCGACTCGCTAGGCACTCAGAATCCAGAGTGTTCCAGGACCCGGAGAAGAAATGAGGTGTGCTTTTCGGCTTGCGTCGGCGCCATTCGACTGCAGCCTGTTCTTTCGGTGACGCGTGTTTTGCGAGCGCCTGTACTATATATAGAGAGAGAGAGAGAGAGATATAAAAAAAAAACACTCTTGAGAGCGATCCAAGTCTTGCGACCAGGGGGAGGGCTTAATGAGGCACGAAGGGGCTTTCCTGGCCACGGCGAGCCTCGGCCACGACAGGGGCTCCCGACCCAAACCCGAGGAACGCCCTGAAAACAGGAGCCCCTCTTGAGCCCCAAGTGGTCCTTGCATGTACCTCAGCGTCGAACTTCACAGATCCATGTCTGACTGTCCCTGAGCACGACCCAAGTGGTCCTTGCATGTACCTCAGCGTCGAACTTCACAGATCCATGTCTGACCGTCCCTGAGCACGAAGACGGCCCCCCAGACGGGGAGCGAAACGATGCCGATGCTGCTACTCCCCGGACCTCTCCTGGGGCCCGTCCTGACCAGAATCTCCACGCGAATCCAGTCGTGGCGACGAGGAGTGGGTAGCGATAGCGGCACATCTAGGAGCAGCCCTTGAACATCGTTGAACCGACTCCTATCCCCATATGCGTGGCCCGGGCCCCTCTGGCTCATTGAACCCCTAGATGGGGAAACAGGCCGTTTCCTCCGGATTCCGAGGGGTTGGTCTATCCCCAACTGGGATGGTGGGATGGCGGGGGTGTGGATGAAGAAAATTGAGCAGGGACCGACCGTCCCGGCACTCCTATAGTCCTACCACGAAATGTTCTTAGAACCCAGAAATGTGCTAAGAACAAACGCGCTGATCTTAGAACATAGGCCCGATGTGATAAAACAAGACAGGCTCCGCCAGACATGTTCTAAGAAAGTCCAGTGGAAACCACACAAGAGGTTCTCAGAACATTGCTTGGTACGGCTATACGCATGCCAAGACGCTTCGCCACTGCTTAAGAAAGGGACAGGGGCCCGTGAAACGATGCTGACAACTCGGCCCCCGGCCCCCTCGGCGAGGTCCCTGGGGGCCGAATCTGGGATACACTGCCCGTCGCGAGGGAGAAGCAACGGCGCCAGGATCTCGGCGTCGGGCTCTGCGGGGCCCGAGGAGGAGGAGGAGGAGGAGGAGGAGTAGGAGGAGGAGGAGGAGGAGGGGGAGGAGGAGGAGGAGGGGGAGGAGGAAGAGGAGGGGGAGGAGGAGGAAGGAGGAGGAGGAGGAGGAGGAGGAGGAGGAGGAGGAGGAGGAAGGAGAGGAGGAGGAGGAGGAGGAGGAGGAGGAGGAGGAGGAGGAGGAGGAGGAGGAGGAGGAGGAGGAGGAGGAGGAGGGAGGGGAGGAGGAGGAGGAGGGGAGGAGGAGAAGGAGGAGGAGGGGGAGGTGGAGGAGGAAGAGGAGGGGGAGGAGGAGGAGGAGGGGGAGGAGGTGGATTCGAGGCCTCGAGATCTCCGTCGCGTGCTGGGCGCCTCTCTGCGTGCCTGCTGCCCGCCCCCGGCCTCCCCTCGGCCCCTCGCCGCGCGAGCGCGCCTCCGGGCTCGGGTCCCCTAGCAGCCCCGAGGCCGCCGCGGCGTGCGCGGCCGCCGGCTCCTGCGGATGGGGCGGGGCGCGCGGGCTGCTCGGGCGCGCCGCACGGGGCAACCGGCCTCGAACCTGTCCCTACCCCGAGGATGGGCGGGCAGCAAGCGAGGACAGTCTCTTAGGGGTGTGCCCTCGGAAACCGACCTCGAGGTCGGCATCGAGGCGAGCCGAGGCCAACACGCAGGAATAGGGGCATGTGCCTCAAGCCGGTGACGGGGGAGGCGGGGGCATCACGGCGCCCCGAGGCACGCGCGCGGCCGAGGGGGGGGGAGCGGGGGGAGGGGCTCTCGAGGAGCTCCCTCGGGCGTTGCGGGCCGCAGCCCCCGACCGACACGCCGAGGGGGGAGGAGGAAGGCTGCGAGGGCCGCTCCTCCGGCCGCCCTGGGCGCCTGCCAGGGCGGGCGGGCGCGTGCGAGGGCGGCGGGCGCGGTGCAGACGGGAGGGGAGAGGAGGATAGACGGCGGAGAGGGGCGCGTGCCCCTGGGCTCCCTCGTGGCTGACCCCAGAGGGGGTCCAGCTTACAGGGGGTGGCGCAATAGATGTGGGGCATTTGTATTACCGACACACAGCGCTGGAGAATGGTACTGCGTTGTGTCGCAATAATGAGTGTACTGCGCGCGAACATCCAGCAATACATGTGCGCTCCCGAATGTACTGCACGCCCCAAATCTGGTGCAACCCACAAATCTACTGCAACAAACCTATTGCACCACCCTCTTTTCTGTGGACCCCCTCTTTTGGGTCAACCAGACCCCTGCGGGCTGCTGATAGACAGAGCGGAGGGAGGGTGGCCGAGGGGGCGTGGGGGGGCGTGCTGAGAGAGAGAAGGGCCAGCGGTTCAAGGTTTGGAGTTCGAGGCTCAGGGACGCGCTTCGCTCCTGCGAGGCCTCCTGGGAACTCCTTGTCACTGACGCGGGATCCGCCTCGAGATGCTGGTCGGAACACGCCCCCGGCGAGGACAGGAGGAGGACGAGGAGGAGGACGAGGAGGAGGAGGAGGAGGAGGAGGAGGAGGAGGAGGAGGAGGAGGAGGAGGAGGAGGAGGAGGAGGAGGAGGAGGGGGGGGGGCTCAAGGGGCTTGCCGAAAAGAGAACGCGAGGCGGGGAATGCTCCATGGCCACCGCCCGAGGGATCGATCATCTGGGAGCTCGGCAGGTGGTGAGAGCATGAACGTTTGGGGGTCCGGTTCGAAACCACGTGCGCCGCCTTCGGAGGTCCCCGAAAATCGCTCCCCCCGGCGGTGGTGACGGATGACCCCCCGCCTCCGCCAAAGCGGGCCACGACATCTCGGACACTTCGAGTGTCCCCCGCAGCGATATCAGCCCCCCCCCCCTGGTCCTCCTCCCCCCCTTCTTGCACGCCCCCGCGCCTGCATGCGCCGACCCGGGCCAGGCCGATCCTGGGCCCAGGTCGGAGGCCTGGAAATGGGCACCAACACCAACCCAGGGGGTTGCCTTCACAGGGGGAAGGGGATCCTAGATGTCGGTGTCGGTGGCAATAGTTCGGCCACCGTCGAAGCCAGAATATCACCACCGTCACCGAGACCGGGATCTTCCTCCCTCGATGGAGGCACACCGCCGATATTGGTGCTGGTGTCAACCTCTAGGCCTGCGACCAGGAGGCGGACTCGAAGCCCTGGGCCACGGCAGCGGCCGTGCTTCTTCCACGCAGCGCGGGCCCGTCGGTGCGCTTCCCGCGGCGCGTCGGGGTGGGGGGGGCGCGGGCCCGCCGTGTGCGCCCCGCGTGGGGCCCCCTCGGCAGCCGCGGGCGCACGGATGCCGTCGCCGCGCGGCCACGAGAGCGCGGGTCGAGAGCACGAGCCCGCTGCGGAGAAGGGCCGTCGCCCGACGGCGAGACGGTCTCGGAGAGACGCGCGAGCGAAGAGCACTCCAGGGCGGAGAGCCCGACCACGGATGGCATCAAGGCAGCCCTCCCAGGGCTTGGGCTGTTCTGAACCCGTGTGCCAGCTGCGTGCGCGCTCCCGGCCTAGCCAGGGCAACGCATGCGCCAACCCTGCGCCAGGGATGTGCCTGGCCAGTGCTGGAGTGGGGCGCGCAGCCGGCGCCCTCCGAGCCCCCGGCTCTCGCCACAGTCCGTTCGCCCGTGCTTGTTCGCCACGACCCGTCCCTGGACGCGCATTACTGGGGGGGGGGCGATACGGCCCCGAAGGCCCCCCTCCTGGGCCCGACCGGGCCCCTCGCAGGGCACTAAGGGGCTCGCTCCTATTGTGGCAGCCCTCGCCGCTCCCCTCTGTATCGCCCCCAGCATTACGCATCCTCCGAGCCCGCACCTCTCGGCCCTCCCCAAGTGCTTTCGCCCCAGCACGTTCGCCCACCACGTTCCCCCCCCCCCGCTCCCCCGCAAATGTTTTCAGGGGCCATCGCTGCCCCTCGTGTCCGCCAAACGGTGGAGCGGTTTGCTTCATTCACAACGGGGAAGCGGCGCCTAAAACCTGAGACGCGGAACATCTAGCCTGTCTGGAGAAATGCGAATTGTCCGGACGAAAGACTCAACCACATGCAGTTTTGAACTCCGCGTTGTGCCACCGCGTTCGGTGGAGCTACCTCTGAAGCCAATGGCCGTGTGAGGGGTGCGCCAGAATTCACGCGGCAACGCCATGCGAAGCCTGCCACTGGGGCTACGGGTGGGTCTCCCAATGAAACCACGAAGCGTTTGAGGGGTGCGCCACATGGGGCGGCGCTGCCATGCGAACCTCTCCGCTGGGTCCCCTGCGGTGGAGCACTCTCCCTCTCTCTCTCTCTCTCTCTCTCTCTCTGGGGCCACGAACCGTTCGAGGGGTTCGCCCGAATGGGGCGGCACCGCCATGCGAACCCTGCCACTGTTTTTGTTTCCACGACCATGCTGACGGCACGCGGCCTGCCGCTCCGCGCTTCCAGCGACCCTCGCAGCGCGGCGAGTGGGGGAAACCCAGGCCGCCCATGACCCCGAACGCGCAAGACGACGAGGGCGAGCGGCGTAGTCGCCCCCGCCTAGGGCGAGGGGCACACCGCCGCTTGCTCCCCCTAGAGGCTCGCCGCGAAGGGTAGGGGTGGCGCGGGTGCTGACCCCGTAGGCGCACTCACCGAAGTGGCGCGGACCGCTCGCCAGCCCGCGGACTCCAGCCTGCGCTGGCGCTCGTCGCTGAGCTGCTGCTCGTGGCCAGACTCGACGCCTAGCGGGGGAGGCCGTCCGCGGTGGGGCGCAGACCTCCTCGGAGCTGGAGGCCGCAGCTCCGCCAGCTGCAAGCGCCGTTCCCGCGGGCGCCGCCGCTGGCTCCGCCGCCACCCCCGCCGTGAACGCTGCCGCGGCCTGCCGCTGCCGCTGCTGCCCCGCGCCCCGCCGCCGCCGCTGCGCGGCGCCGGCCCAGGAGTCGCTGAGCTCGTCGAAGACTCGCCCGAGGGAGCCGCGCCGGGCCCGTCGAGCGCCGCCTCGCCGCGCTGCCAGGGCCCGCCTGCCCACACGGCGGGCGCGCCGACGGCGCCGCCGCGCAGCGCTCCGCCTCCGTCGGGCCCCTCCCGGCCGCCCTCGCCCGGCTCCTCGGCCGAAAGGGGGCAGCCGGCCTCGGCGGGCGCAGGGCGCGCCTCGGCCGAGGTGCCGCCGAGGCCACCGCCGCGCGCGCGAAGGGCGCCCGCGGAGCACTGGAGGTGCCCCAGCGCCCTGCGCCGCGCACAGACGGCCACGTCCACAGGGACGGCGGCCTCTGCAGCACTGATGGCCCCTTTCGGCGCCGTCATCGTCGGACCAGGCCCCCGAAGACACCCCCGACGACGACGGCAGCCGTGCGATCGCGTGAGGGCCTGAATTTTCCACTGGGGCCTTCGGTGGAGCTCCCTCTGAAGCCTCTGGCCGTGCGAGGGGTGCGCCAGAATTCCGGCGGCACCGCCATGCGAACCCTGCCACTGGGGCGGTCGGTGGAACTCGCAATGAAACCACGAAGCGTTTGAGGGGTGCGTCACATGAGGCGGCGCTGCCATGCGAACCTCGCCACTGGGGCGGTGGGGCTCCCTATGAAACCACAAACAGTTCGAGGGGTGCGCCAAAATGGGGCGGCGTCGCGATGCGACACCCCCAACCACTGGGGCCCTCGATTGAGCTCCCCATGGGGCCAGGAACCGTGTGAGGGGTGCCCCAAAAATGAGGCGGCGCCGCCGTGCGAACCCTGCCACTGGGACCTTCGGTGGAGCTCCCCAATGGGGCCAAGAACCGCGTGAGGGGTGCAGCAAAATGGGGCGGCGCTGCCATTCGAACCTCACGACTGGGACCTTCGGTGGATCAGGAGAACGAGTTGGGAGCGTCGCGAGGTGCTGTCTCGTCAAAATGAGGACCCAGCACAACTGAATGGTTGGGCACAAACATGAACATAGGCTTCCGGAGCTCCGCGCGAATTCCTGGGATCGGCGCTAGCCCCCCTTGCGCCTGCGAGTGCCACATCACGCTTGTGGACACCAACGCATGCCTGTCAAAACCAAACCATGCCTGTGAGAACCGCGCCATGCCTGTAGGGGAATCGGCATACCCCTCAGCGTACGGTCGGCACCGTTACAACGGGGAGGGGGGTGGAGGCGGGGGGGACGACCCCCCAAAACGAACGTGATGAACAGTCCCGTGGTTGCAGATCCGAGAGAAACCCCAAGAGGCACGGATACCTCTACTCCCTGGAGTCCCTGGAGCTCTCCCAGGGTGCGCTCTGACCAGAATCCCGAGACGAATCCAGCGGTGGTGGCGACGAGGGCCTCCCGGGAGGAGGCAACCGAGGAGAACGGGCGGAGGGTACAGGGCAGTTTTTAATACATAAGATGTTTAAACTATAGGATGTTTAATACATGATGAACTTATCAATAAATTGATGCATGAACTCATCGTTGTTTTTAATACTACATCCTTGCATTTTTTGAATACGTGATCCGCACGCGGAGCGTGTATTGAAAACGGCACTGTAGCGGTGTGGGCACCTGCTCCTCCCTCGCAAATGACTACCTACCAGACCACCCCAACCCAACCCGAAGACTCGAATTTCGGGTTGGGGGGGGTACGGGTTCCACACGTATTTTTTCGATGCTCCCGGACCCCCCCCCACTAGAAATCGAGGGTAAATCTGAGCCTTCGGGTTGGGCTGGAGTGGTGTGGTGGGTGGTGACAAAACCCTGCCCGCAGAACCCTGCCCCCAGATTTCCGCCCGACGAGCTCCCCTGGAGCTCTCCCAGGGTGCGCTCTGACCAGAATCCCGAGACGAATCCAGCGGTGGTGGCGACGAGGGCCTCCCCGGAGGAGGAAAACCGAGCGGCGAGAAGGGGCGGAGGGCAGCACAGATGGGCACCCTCCTCCTCCTTCTCCGCAGAACCCTGCCCGCGCCCCCACGGCCTCGAGGGGCCCCCCTCTCGACCACCGCCACCAGAAGCTGGAGGGGGAGGGGGTCCTCCCCCTCCTCCTCCTCCTCCTCCTCCTCCTCCTCCTCCTCCTCCTCCTCCTTCGCAGATTTCCGCCCGACGAGCTCCCCCGCGTCGCCGAGCGCCTCCGCGGCGGCCGCGCGCACGGACGCAACGGACTACCTACCAGACCACCCCAACCCAACCCGAAGACCCGAATTTCGGGTTGGGGGGGGTACGGGTTCCATCTGTGTTTGTTCGATGCTCCCCGACCCCCCCCCCACTAGAAACCGAGGGTAAATCTGAGGCCTTCGGGTTGGGCTGGGGTGGTTTGGTGGGTGGTGACAAAACCCTGCCCGCAGATTTCCGCCCGACGAGCTCCCCTGGAGCTCTCCCAGGGTGCGCTCTGACCAGAATCCCGAGACGAATCCAGCGGTGGTGGCGACGAGGGCCTCCCCGGAGGAGGCAAACCGAGCAGCGAGAAAAGGGCGGAGGGCAGCATAGATGGGCACCCTCCTCCTCCTCCTCCGCAGAACCCTGCCCGCAGACTTCCGCCCGACGAGCTCCCCCGCGTCGCCGAGCGCCTCCGCGGCGGCCGCGCGCACGGACGCGTCGGCGTCCCCCAGCAGCCGGGCCACCCCGCCCGCGAGCGCCTCGGCGCGGGAGGCGCGGCCGCCCGACGCGGCCGCCTCCGCGATCTTCCCGAGCGCCCTCGCGGCGTTCCTCGCCAGCGACGAGGAGGAGGAGGGAGGAGGAGGAGGAGGAGGAGGAGGAGGAGGAGGAGGAGGAGGAGGAGGAGGAGGAGGAGGAGGAGGAGGAGGAGGAGGAGGAGGAGGAGGAGGAGGCGCGCAGTTTTGCGCTGGGGGAGGGAGCAAGGGCGCCCCACTTCGCGCTCCGCGCTGCGCGAAGCACTCCGAGCTCTCGCGCGGCCCCGCGGGAGAGAAGGGGAGCACGAGGAGGGAGTGGGAGCCGAACCGCGAGGCGCGAACGACGTCGCCAGGTGACGCTCCTGCGATGTGACTTACAGACAGCCCGTATAGTGAGGATGCGCGATAAGGATGCTTTTCGAAGCGTTTCGAGCGGGGCGCGGCCAACGACGCTTTTCGAAGCCTTGGACGTCCATTTCGAAGCTTTCCGAGCGGGGCGCGGCCAACGAAAGTGGCCAAGGATTGATCGAGGAGGACAGGATACAAGGGTACCCTTGGGAAGGTCGCCCATCCTTACTATGCGGGTTGACTGTACGCTTCGCTGGGGGCTCTGGGGCCGACTTTGCTCACATCGCTGCGCAGCGGCTCGCGGAGCTCCCGAAGGCCCCGGACTGACGAGTGCCTCGCCGGGCGCACGCGGCTGCGCGTCGCGCCTGTCCCCGCTCGTCAAAAAGCAAAGCACATGTTTGTTTAGGAGGAAAAGGAGATAAGACATCCCAGCAACACAGTGAGGCCAATGCGACATGTGAAAATTGCATCCGATCCCGCGCACAACCGGCATAATGCAAGGGGCGATCACCAGCGACGGTCATGGGGAGACCTCCCAAATGGAGTCCGAGTGGATGGTGCTGGAGGATCGCGCCGCATCGCCAGTGCACCGCCGATGCACTGGCGACGTCGGCTTGGAGAGAATCGGGCTCCACATCGAGCCGCATCGCCGATGCATCGGAAGCGCGATCCTTCGACCCTCATCTACTCGGACCCCATCTGGGAGGTCTAGAGTTACCCACCAGAGACGGACATATGAATACCAGTCGAGGCAGCAAAAATCGAGGGCCAAATTTTGCCCGCTCGTCGCTCTCAGCCCCATTCGGGCTCTTTTCAGACCCCTCCCCCCTCAAATCTCGAGCCAGGGTAAAAAGCTGGCCCGACGGGGCCTCAGGAGGGGCCCCAGCGCCGATGTCGAGCGGACTTACAAAATTATGCCCTGATTCGTCGAGGACAGCACAACGCACCCCCACCCCCAACAGGACCCCCTCACCCGATCTGGTGATTTAGGGGGTCCTGGCTGGGGGTGCGTTTTTTTTGTGTGGTTCTGCCGGGTTCCAAAACAAGAAACAACCATTTCCCAGGGAGCCGTGAGGTCTCGCCTGCGTGCGCGTACAACCCCACTCCGCTGGACCTCCGAAGAGCCCACGAAAGTGGCGACAGTAGCAGTTGGAAGTCCCCCAGGGAGCCGCGACAAGGATGAAGAGGAGGAAGGAAGAGGATGATGATGAGGACGAGGAGGAGGCATGAGGAGGAGGATGCCAGAAGGAGGAGTGGATACCACAACGCTCTAGAGGGAAGGATAATCCGCCACATATCGCCTTGCGTATACTTATGTCGCAATGGCGTCGTCATGGCTTCCAAAGGCCTCGCGTGTATATAGTTCAGGAGTCTATGTACTGATGATGTATGGAATAGGTGTTACTAGATAGTATAGACATTGCTGTCCTCTTACCTGTCCCTCGTAATGTCTACGTACTTCAAATTATGACAAAAGGTGTCTCAACAATGTCTGAATGGACTGTCTCACTGATGCCTATGGTGGAGGCATTCATTGTCGCAGGTGCGGCACCGCTTAATAGAACACAGAGATGTGATTCATATCCGTCCAACTCAACAGACGGGTTGTTTAGCAAACGTTGAGTATAAAAGACGAGGAGAGGATATCGCCCACTACTGCACGCAATGTGCATGATCTTATCCTTCGAGGGAAGCAGAAGGGCGAGGAGGGAGGCGACGGCGAGGATGAGGGAGCCGATCCTCTCCTACGCCGAATTTGAGCGGGCGAAGGAAAAGCATAGAATTACACATTCCGCGATCGGGGACGCCTGTCCCAGGGCGGCTGGAACGATTACTCCCTGCGGTGGCAGGTGGATCTGTAGTCTTTCCAGCCGCCCTGCGTCAGAGGCGCCCCCGCTCGCGGAGCACTTCCTCGCATACCGCCCTCCGCACGCCGACGCGCCTCTTCTCCGACGGCCGAGCTCCCTCGGATCACCGCATCGGCGATTCACTTCGGCGACGTCGGCGATGCATCGGCGACGCCGCCGTGGAGAAGATCGGGCTCCGCATCGAGCCGCATCGCCGATGCGTCGGCGATGCGGCGCGGTCCTCGTACCCCGTCTACATCGATCCCATCCGGGAGGTCTGGTTATGTGTATGCCGCCTTGTTTTTGCTTCGGGAGCAGGGCGAGGAGGCGAGCGACGGCGAGGAGGAGAAGGATGCAAATCGACCTTTACACCGAGGGAGAAGAGCAACATTTATGATGGTCCGACCTACTTCAGCCTGGACCACCAGAACAACTTTCGAGCACCAAGAAAGTACCAGAGCTGAAGGTATTCACGTGTCGGACCCTGAGAGGCGATACTCGTTCGACACTTCGCTGGCGTGCCAGGCAAACACTGCTTCGATACCTCTCTGGGTGCTCGAGATTATTTCTGGAGTGCGTTTCTTTATTTCTCGGCTATGGTAGGCATTATAGGGGGGAGAGGGCCGGGGGGGGCGGGGTATAATGCAAAGCCTCCCCCCCGCCGTGTGCACGATGCGCACGGCGGCAGTGCCCGGAGCGCACTGGGGGGGGACCCAGAGGAGGGGCGTTACGTTACACGGGGGTGGGGGTCGGGGGCTAGAATGCCCATTATGCCACAAGCAATACAGAAACACGATCGATGAAGCAACGCATCTCCACGCGGCACTTCCCCCCACCGACCCCGAGCTCCCTCGGATCGCCGCGTCGGGGTCGGTCAGCAGGCCCTCCACCTCCCGGGTCCACGGCAGCGCAGCCTTGCCGCTCCTCCGGGCCGACCCCAAGGGGGGCGGCCTACCACGGGGGGGGGAGCCGCACCACCTCCAGGGAGCGGACCCCCGTGGACTCCCCCGACCCCCCCCCCCCCACACCAAGAGACTGTGCTGCATGTAATCTGGCAGCAACCTGGCATCCCTCGGACGTCCATTGCCCCGTGCATGTTTGTCGGCTTCGCGCGCTTAGGCTTCGCAAGATGATCCTCGATGCTCCTCGATGGTCCTCGCCGAGGCACAGACAAATGCACACGTCCGAGCGACGCCAGGACAATCGTGAATCCGGAGGGAGGAAAGAAGGCCACGCCCAGGTTACGGTACCGCTTGGGCGGGGTGGGGCACGCCGGGGCAGGGGTGCGCTACGATCGCCACAGCTTTATGCGCGGGCAGCAGCATGTGTGTGTGGGGGGGGTCCAGGCCCCCCGCCCCGCGCACGATCGTTGCTGACACTGGAAAGGGGGATGTTTTGGCCTGGGTGACACAACACAAACGCAAACATCTCCAGGATCCCCCCGAAGTGGCCCGAGAACGTCCAAGACTACCCTTTGCTTCGGGCGCTGCCCGCCCGAGAACGCGAGGCGGGATGGGAGCACCGGCACGCTTTGGGCCCGACGCTCGCGATGTGCAGTCGCCAGTCGTCGATGGCACGAGGCTTCTGTCGGGCGCGTCCTCCTGCAGGCGGATCTCGGGCGAAGAAGCAATGAACAAAAACAAACACTCAAACAGAATCAGGAGACGTCGAAACATCGTCCCCCGGCTACTTTCCTACCATTACCCAGATGGTCTGGTACCGGAAATTTTCGGTAGCGATTTCGACGCACCCCGAATTTCGGTAGCGACCGGATCTTCGTTTGAGGGCGTTGAAATAGCGGATTTCAGAACGGTCTGATACCGGTATTGGGCGCTACATTTCGGTATTTCGGTAGCGATCGATCTCTGCGGAGCGCTACCGGAAATTTTCGGTAGCGGACCATCAGGGTACTGGAGTTTCCTGCTGTGGAGGGGCACGCCCGACTCGACACGAGGTGGGACCCCCAGGGGGAGCAGCCGCACGCCGCGGGCGGGGGCGGCCGCGGCGTGCGGGGCGTGCGAGGCGGGTCGGGAGCCCCGTGCCCTCAGATCCAGAAGCCCCGCCTCAAGTCGGGCCACGTCCCTCGACAGGAGGAACATTCTACACGAAATACAAATAAATACACACAAATGAATACACAAATCGGGCCACGTCCCTCAAGGGGCCCCAGGACACACAAATCAATACACACAAATTCGCCGGCCCAACGGGCCAGGGCGTGCTGAGATCTCCGGTAACAGGTAAACAGTATTTCTAGTTCGCGCGCGCGGGGCGGCCCCTAGGAGTCCCCGGGCGAAAAGTACCCCGGCAGGTCCCCGGGAGGGTGGGGGCCAGAGATGCCGGACTTCCTGGGCACGGGCCTGGAGGCCTCTGGAGCGCTCCAGGAGCGCTCCCAAGGAGACGCCAAATATGTGGCAGGCCCAGCAGCCTGGAGCCAAGAGCGCCCCAAGACGGCCCAGATGGCCTCAAGACGGCCCAAGATGCTCCCAAGACGCCCCAAGATGCATCCAAGAGACCTCCCCAGAGGCCCCCAAGAAGCCAAAATGTATGATTTTCATTGCTTGTTTGAAGATTTTGGCGTTCTCGCCTCTTCGGCTTCCTAGCGCTCCAAGACGGCCCAAAAAGCCCTCAATATCGCCCCAATACGGCCTACGAGGGTTCAAGACCGTTCCGAAACGACCCCAGAGGGCCCTAAGAGACCCCCAGAAACCTCCAAGATGGCCCAAGATGCCCCCAAGACGGCTGCAAGACCGGGCCCCGACGGGGGACCGGAACGGACATTTCGCGCTCTAAGCCGCAAGACGTCCCCAGGAGACCTCATAACGCCCCCAAGAGGCCTCAAGACGGCCCAAGATGCTCCCAAGACGCCCCAAGATGCGTCCAAGAGACCTCCCAAGAGGCCCCCAACAAGCCAAAATTGATGATTTTCATTGCTTTTTGAGGATTTTGGCGTTCTCGCCTCTTCGGCTTCCTAGCGCTCCAAGACGGCCCAAAAAGCCCTCAATATCGCCCCCATACGGCCTACGAGGGTTCAAGACCGTTCCGAAACGACCCCAGAGAGCCCTAAGAGACCCCCAGAAACCTCCAAGATGGCCCAAGATGCCTCCAAGACGGCTCCAAGACCGGGCCCCGACGGGGGACCAGAACGGACATTTCGCGCTCTAAGCCGGAACGGGCCGGAACGGACAACCGCGAGCCCCATGAGAGCAGACGATGGCGCCACAAACCACTGACAGCCGCAAACGTCGAACCAACTACACCGGACTGGTGCACCCACCACCGAAAACAACGTCCCCCCCCATCAGCGCAGCATGGCTCACGGACGCGCAGCCAAACCCCAGCGATTACGCATGATGGGCCGGCGGAATTAGCGAAGCGATTAAATTAAAATATCCCCCATATCTTCCCATATTGTTTGGGTTTTCGTCTTCCCCCCCACTGCCCATATTTTCCAATATTTTCTGGGGGAGCGACGATTAATTGTGTCTGTGTGTTTTTTCTCTTCCTGATATTCAAAGATTTAACTATGGTGATGCATGGCTTGACTATCTTTTACTGTCCTCCAAAAGCCCCCTGTGGGAGGATGTGCCCACCCTGACTCTACCCTCGATCCCCCCCCCCGCTTCCAGCTCCTCGACCTCTGGGAGGAAGCTGTGACCCCCGTGCCCGTCGGTCGGAAGACGCGGTTAGGAACACGAAGCAGGAAGACGTCGACAATATGTTGGGCTTCGGCCCGCCACAGACAGAAGAGGGCAGAGAGACGCCGCTCGGCTCTTGAAGTGGGAAGGCGTCCCAGTTACGTGGATTGAGCAGAGCAGCCGTGCGCCAAACGCGCGCGGGCCAGAACGAAGCGCCCAAAGAGCGCCTAAACTTTCAACTTCTCAGAGACGCGCCGAGCGCGTGCCCAAGCAGACCAGCCGCCAAAAAGGCACCCGGAGGAGGAGTGGCAGGGATGACGACGAGGAACACATACTGGAAGAGGAGGAGGAGGAGGAGGAGGAGGAGGAGGAGCGGCAGGAATGACGGGGAAAACCTGCCGGAGTCTGCGAGCCCCGAACTGCCTACTTCCACCCTGGAGGCGGCCGGGGGTGCTGAGCTGGATAGGCCCCGAGAAGATCTGTCACTGGCCATCGCTCGGACGTCCATTCCCTGTGTTTTTGTTCGGTTTCGTGCGTGGTTTCTTCGCCAAGTGATCAAGGATGCTCCCCGATGGTCCTCGCCGAAGAGAAAATGTACACGTCCGAGCGATGCCAAGGTCAGGATGGGGGGAGGAAGCCCAATCCGCTCAAGGTCACTCCCCAGATCCCAAGGCCCATCTGGTGCATTGTTTCACACCAGATCCCTTCTCGACGGCCCTGGGGCCCGAACACGGCTCCTAGAGGCCGACAAAAGGAAACATACGAAACAAAAACTACTCCAGATTTCGTAATAAAAGGGAGGGGGTCTGGACCGTCCAAGACAAGCCATTTCAGACCCCCCCCGTGGGAGAACCCTCCAAAACATCGTCCCCAGACCCCCCCAGGCCCTCCAAGATAGCCTGGAAGAGACCCCCCCCGAAATGAGACCCCCCTCCCTTTATTACGAAATCTGGAGTACTCGAACACAGCACCCTCGAACCTGCCCCCACCCTCGTGCTGGCCGAACAAGTGCTGGGCCACCTGCAGCCACCAGCCCTCCCAGGTTGGCTCTAGCTCTCCTCGGCTGCGCTCAAGAATGAATGACCCTGGGCAAGATGGACCATTGCTTCGCGGCTACACGGGGAACGCAAGGTGGCCAAACCTGGGCGCGAAAGCCGCTGCTACCGCTGCCATCGCTTCGCGTTCAGCGATCGGGGGACCCCACTGGGCCCGCACCAAAGGTCACTCCCGCGAAAAGTCACTCTTCCGTCTAACCCATCTTCCGGCGACCGGCGAATGCTGGGCACTCGGGCACGAACTAATGGGGGGGCGATAAAATGGCGAGGGAAGAAAGGTGGCATTTCCGGGCCCTGCAGAGGGCTCCTTCTGGGCCCCAGGAGGAGGAGGAGGAGGAGGAGGAGGAGGAGGAGGAGGAGGAGGAGGGGAGGAGGAGGAGGAGGAGGGCTGGCCCCCCCCATTTGTCGCCCCCCCACTGCGCGTCCTCTGGAGGACCCCCCATTGGACGGTGCCCTGGTCCTGCCCAGGGCCGCGGCCGCGTCTCGCCGATCCTGCGGCGGGCGCGCGCTCCGCAGGGTCCGCACCAGCGCCCCCACGTCGACCAGCTCGGCGACCTCGCGGCGCTCCGTCTTGCTGGAAGGATGATTGAGGCCTCCTCCTCCTCCTCCTCCTCCTCCTCCTGCTCCTCCTTCTGCTCCTCCTCCCGCTCCTCCTCCTCCTCCTCCTCCTCGTCATCCTCTCGTCGTACTCCTCCTCCTCCTCCTCCTGCTCCTCCTCCTGCTCCTCCTTCCCCTCCTCCTCCTCCCTCCTCTTCTCCTCCCCCCCCTGTTTTTTCCTCCTCCTCCTCCTCCTCCTCCTCCTCCTCCTCCTCCTCCTCCTCCTCCTCCTCCTCCCTCCTCGTCGTCCTCCCCTCCCCCTCCTCCTCCTCCTCCCTCCTCTCCTCCTCCTCCTCTCTCCTCCCTCCTTCCTCTTCCTCTTCCTTCCCCTCCTCCTCGAGAACGGGGGATTGTGGGGGTCCTCGCCTTTCGAGGGGTGTTTTCGTATGGTTTTCTTCCTTTCCTCCTCCTCCTCTTTCTTTTCGTTTTCTTCCTCCTCCTCCTCCCCTTATTCCTCTTCATGCTCGTTCTCCCTATCCTGCTCCTCAACTCCCTCCCCTCCTTCTACTCCTCCTCCTCCCTCTCCCTCCTTCCATTTTTTTTTGCGTGTTCCCCCCCCAAAAAAAAAACGAAGGCCACCCCGTTTTTTTTTTGGGGGGGGGAGGGGGCACGAAAAATCCTCCTTCCTCCTCCCCCTCCTCCTCCTCCTCCTCCTCCTGCTCTGCTCCTCCTCTCTCCTCCTCTCCCTCCTCCTCCTCCTCTCCTCATCCTCCTCTCCCTCCTCCTCCTCCTCCTCCTCCCTCTCCTCCTCTCCCTCCCCCTCTGCTACTCTCTGCCTTTTTTGTTTTTCCTTCAGGCGCCCCCCCCCCCCAAAAAAAAAACTAAAACACAATCTATGTTTTTTTTTTTGTTTGGGGGGGGGGGGGTGGGGGGGGCGCGCCAGGAGAAAAAAAGAAGGAATGCGACGTGACCACATCTGCTCTCCCCCCTAGAAGGATTCCTATTGGACGCCCCATTAAGAAGGATTCTCAGTAAAATCCTCGACAGAAGGGTTCCTATCGAAACCCTCCACTGAATGATTCCTACCGAAATCCTCCACATGTGGATTCCTACTGAAACCCTCCACTGAATGATTCCTACTGAAATCCTCGAATGGCAATGGCAATGGCAATGGTAATGGTAATGGTAATGGTACTGGTAATGGTTACGGTAATGATAGTGGTAACGGGGTAGCGAGGCAATGACAATGGCAATGGCAACGGTAATGGTAATGGTAATGGTAATGGCAATGGCAATGGGAATGGCAATGACAGTGGCAATGGCAATGGCAATGGTAATGGCCATGGCAATTGTAATGGTCATGGTAAGGGTAGAGGTATAGGTAGAGTTAAAGGTAATGGTAATGGTAATGGTAAAGGTACTGGCAATGGCAATGGTAATGGTAATGGTAATGGGAATGGAAGTGGGAATGGGAACGGGAACGGAAATGATACTGGTAGTGATAATGGTAATGGCACTGGTAATGGTAATGGTTCTGGAATTTGTAATAGTATTGGGAATGGGAATGAGAATGGGAATTCTAATGGTAATGGCAGCCGTAGTATCATGGTAATGGGAATGGGAGTGGAAATGGTACTGGCAATGGTAATGGTAGTGACGAATGGCAATGGCAATGGCAATGGCAATGGTGATGGTAATGACAGAGGTAATGGTACTGGTACTGGTACTGGTAATGGTAAGGGGGTAGCGATTGGCAATGGCAATGACAATGGCAACGGTAACGGTAATGACAATGGCAATGAGATTGGCAATGGCAATGACAATGATAATGGCCATGGCAATGGCAATGGTAAGTGTAATGATAATGGCAATGGTAATGGTAATGGGAACGGGAATGGGAATGTGAATGGGAATAAGAACGGGAAAATAATGGAAATGGTAGTGGTAGTGGTAACGGAAATGGGAATGATAAGGGTAAGGGTAAAGGTAAAGGTAGAGGTAATGGTAATGGAAATGATAGTGATCATGGTAATGGTAATTGTAATGGTAATGGTCATGAGAATGGGAATGGCAATGGAAATGGTACTGGCAATGGTAATGGTAGTGGCTCATGGCAATGGCAATGGCAATGCGAATGGTAATGGTAATGACAGAGGTAATGGTAATGGTACTGGTAATGGTAACGGTAATGATAGTGGTAACGGGGTGGCGACTGGCAATGGCAATGACAATGACAACGGCAACGGTAATGGCAATGGCAATGGCAATGGGAATGGCAATGGCAATGGTAAGGCAATGGCAATGGCAATGGTAATGGTAATGGCAATGGTAATGTGAATGGGAATGGGAACGGGAATGGGAATGTGAATGGGAATGGGAACAGGCATGTAAATGGCAGTGGTAGTGGCAACGGAAATGGGAATGGTAAGGGTAAGGGTACATGTAAAGGTAGAGGTAAAGGTAATGGTAATGGTAATGGCAATGGCAGTTGTAATGGTAATGGTAATGGTAATGGTAATGGTATTGGGAATGGGAATGTTAATCGGAATGGTAATGGTACTGGCAACGGTAATGGTAGTGGCGAAGGGCAATGGCAATGGCAATGGTAATGGTAAAGGCGAATGGCAATGGTAATGGTAGAAGCGAATGGCAATGGCAATGGCAATGGTAATGGCAATGACAATGGTAATGATAATGGTACCGGGAATGGTAATGGTGACGATAACGGTAATGGTAATGGTTATGGCAATGGTAACGGGGTAGCGATTGGCAATGGTAATGGGAATGGCAACGGCAACGGCAGCGGCAATAGCAATGGCCATGGCAATGGTAATGGTCATGGTCATGGTATTTGTAATGGTAATGGTAATGGTAATGGTAATGGGAATGGGAATCGTAGTAGTAATTGGAACGGGAACGGGAATGGAATTGGTAGTGGTAGTGGGAAAGATAATGGCAATGGTAATTGAAATGTTACTGGCAACGGTAATGGTAATGGCAATGATGATGGGAATGGGAATTGTAATGGTGATGGCAGCGGTAATGGTAATGGCAATGGCAATTGTGTTGGTAATGCTAATGATAATGGCAATGGTAATGGTGGTGGCGAATGGTAATGGTAATGGGAATGGGAATGGTAATGGTAACAGTAATGGTAACGGGGTGGCTACTGGCAATGGCAATACCATGGCAATGGCAACGGCACTGGCAATGGCAATGATAATGGCAATTGTAATGGCAATGGTAATGGTACTGGCAATTGTAATGGCAATGGTAATGGTAATGGTAATGGTACAGGTAAAGGTAAAGATAAAGGTAAAGGTAATGGTAACGGTAACGTGAATGGGAATGGGAATTGGGATGGGAATGGTAATGGTAATGGTATTGGGAATGGGAATGGAATGGGAATGGGAGTGGGAGAGATTGAGAGAGAGAGAGAACCAAAAAAAAACGGGAAAGGAAACATGGGGGCGGTGAATGCTAGAAGGCTGGCGAAACGGGAAGGATAGAGAAAGAAAGAGAGAGAGAGAGAGAGAGAGAAACGAAGAGCGAGGAGTAGATGGCAAGAGGACGAAGGAACGAAAGATATTAAGAAGATAATATGATGACGCAGAGAGATGGAAGAGCGTTTCACTCGATAAAAACCATATGAAAACGACGAGGACCCCCACAATCCCCCGGCCTCTCTTCCTCCTCCTCCTCCTCCTCCTCCTCCTCCTGCTCATCCCCCTCCTGTTTCTCCTCCTCCTCCTCCTCCCCCTCCTGCTGCTCCTGCTTCTTCTGCTGCTCCTCCTGCTGCTGCTGCTGCTGCTGCTCCTCCTCGCGACACATCGCCGATGCATATGCGATGCATAGTCGACGTCGGCGATGCATCGGCGAAGTCGACGTGAAGCAAATGGGGCCCCACATTGAGCCGCATCGGCGATGCATCGGCGATGCGGCGCAATCCAACCCCATCCACTCCGACGCCATCCCGGAATCCTAGGAATGGTCGGCGGCGAGCGAGGGTGGGAAATGAGAAGGATCAGGCCTTCTCAAAAGACGGCAACGATTGTCAGAGGCCCTCTGGCCCTCTGCGAGGTCTTCCGCGTCCCAGGGGGAAGGTCTCGAAGACTCCTCGGACGGCCAGGGGACTTCTACGAGCCTGCCGAGGAGAAGACCCGCCCCTTCCCGCGCCCACCTCTCACTCGCCGGGGCGACCGCATCATCTCTCGAATAAGCTCCCATATCATCGTGTCGGCTCGTGCGAATCGACGCTAATCGATGCTAAATCGACGCTAAATCGACGCTAATCGACGCTAGCCGACGCTAAATCGGCGCTATCTCATCGACTCCCAAACGCTAATTCGACGCAAATCGACGCTAAAGACGGAATTACGAGGGTACACAAGGATGGGCAACCTTCCCAAGGGTACCTTTGTATCCTTGCCTCCTCGGTCCGTCCTTGGCCACTTTCGTCAGCCGCGCCCCGCTCGACAAGCTCCGGAATGGGCGTCCAAGGCCCCTCCCTCATCCTCATCGCGCATCTTTTTGACGCGGGCAGACTGTGACCTGTGCGCTCTGCGGCGATACAGTCGGAGCGTTGACCCAAGCAACCCTAAATAAGGAGCGAGGCCCCTTTCATCCACAAGTTGAACTTCGATTTCCCATCGAAAACCAAAGGAAAACCCAAGCCAAACTGTGAAACAACTCAGGAACACCGAGCCCCTCCCCAACGAATAGGGTTCCTTCTTCAGCGCCCCGACTGTACGCGGCAGACCCGACCGGTGGCTTCACTCTTGCCTACCCGCAGCAGCCCCGAAGCGAGAAGGCACCGGCGAGACCGGCGGCCTCGCAGTTCTGCATGTGCCAGCCGAGCAGGCCCATGAAGTAGGCGCCGTGCCCGACCACCACCACCTTTCGACGATCCTCCTCCTCGTCCACCTCCTCCTCCTCCTCATTCTGGAAAAGGAGGACGAGGAGGGGAGGAGGGAGGGGGAGGGAGGGGGAGGGACAAGCTAGGTGCGCTCGCGTCATATCTGACATCCTACCCCTCCCTCCCATCCCTTACCATGGCGTAGATCCTCTCTCTACTAGCACAGTCGGATGTCGAGCAGGGCAATGATCCCGAAAGCGTACGCGATGCATTGTAGAGCACGGCATGGCATGGCGTAGAAGAGCACCGCAAAGCGTGGCATCAACCTAGCATTGCATTGCATGCCGTGGCATGGCACGGGAAATGACGCCAGAGCACGGCATGGCATGGCGTAGAAGAGCACCGCAAAGCGTGGCATCAACCTAGCATTGCATTGCATGCCGTGGCATGGCACGGGAAATGACGCCAGCGCTGCAGCGGGAGCACGAGTCGGAACGAGCGGAAGCGCGGAAATGAGGCCAGCGCTGCAGCGGGAGCACGATTCGGAACGGGCGGAAGCACGGAAATGAGGCCACGCGGCAGCGGGAGCACGATTCGGAACGAGCGGGGCCCGAAAATGAGGCCGGCGCCTCAGCGAGAGCAGCATTTTGGAAAAAATTCAAGCGAAAACCCAACTCCGGGGAATCCTGTGTAAAAAACAATACGCGGGGGGGGGGGCGAATACTTTGAAACCGTCATCAGGGGATAAGGGAGAGTAGTATTCATATTGAGTAACTGTAAAGGGAGGAAGAACGAACGAGGGAAAGAAGGAGGAGGGGAGGGAAGGGCGACCAACGTGAGCGTGTCCACCGAGACCCTTCACTGCGACGCAGGCGGCGTAATGACGGCCGGCACGGACTGCGTGCTAGCGGCGGAGCTGGACGGGTTAAGCACACCCTGGGTCAACACACACACACACACACACATGCTGCGGATCATCGAACCTCGGCCGGAAAGTTAGGAGGCAACTTCTGGGAAGTCTCCGCAGGAACGGTTCAAGGCGATGATGCCAGAGTCAAGGGCCACGAAGCAGAATCAAGCTAGATTGCGCCAAAGATTAGGCCAAATTAGCAAGGATCAACTCACAATTACCTGGATTTAGCCGGATTGCGCGGGATGAGGAACAGGAGGAGGACCAGGAGGAGGATGACGAGGAGGAGGAACAGAAGGAGGAGGAGGGGGATGAGGAAGAGGGGTTAGGACCAGTCCTAGCCACCGCCGAGTGAAAAGGGGAGGGGGGATCAGAACAACAGACCTTCCTGAGATTATAGGACCTGCTCCTTTCCTGATGGATTCTTATTTGGATTCGGCTCGAATTCAATTAACTAACATCCATTATATCTGGGAGCTGATCCAACCCGATTGGATACGTGTCTAGACTCCATTCACATCCGATCGAAATCCTCGAACCTGGGATCTGGCCAATCCATCTTGGAATGCGAACTTACTCCAATTCAATCACATCCAGCTAACATTTGGTAGATTGGGGGTCTGGCCAGTTCTCATAGAACTCCTATCTGAAATTAGATAAAACTCTTTGAATACGGGGCCTGCTCCTTTCCTCATGGCTCCTCATTTGAAACAGATCCAAGCCTATTTGGATATGAATGAACCTTGGAATTGCCCCATTCATGTTCAATTATCATGTAAATCCAATTCAGATCCGATGGACATGCTGTAACCCAGGATGTGAGGCGCGGCTTTCGGTCTTGTGTATGGATCCAGTTCAATTCAAGTCTAGCTGAGACCAGATAATGAATGTGTCCCCCTTTCGCGGTTGTTACGTACACATACAAACATGTATAGATGCGTATAGATAAACAAGTAGAAGTATGGGCATCGCACGAGCGGAACGGAATTGCAGAGAGTTGCAGGACATTGAAACGACAACTTGTGAGCGAATGAGCGAGGAAGTCAGAAGAGGTAGGTTCCGGGGGGGGGGTCCATATACAAGTGCATGTATATAAACGAATACGCAATAAGCGAACGATAAGGAAATGCGAGCCGGTATGAAGATACTCCTGGTTGCATCTGCCTATACACAGTATGTCCAGTGCACTGCTTGGGGAGAAGAAGGCGGGGGAAAACTGAGTGGAAGACAGGGGAGACGGGTGGGCGGGAAACTCAAGACCCTCAAAAGGAGGAAGACTATGCAACAAGCTCCAGGTGTCGTGGCACTACATGGCCGTCACAGAGGTGTGGAACCGTCGACGTCTTTCCTAAGGAACTGGTCCTGCCCGTCGGTCTGGCGGCTATAGTCGCTGTCGCCGCTCCGTCGCCTCCCGTCTTCTGGGCCTGCCTGTGGGTCTGATGGCTATGTGGTCGCCGTCGCCGCCTCGTCGCTCTGGGCCTGCCAGTCGGTCTGGCGGCTATGTGGTCGCCGTCGCCGCACCCTCGCCGTCTGGGCCTGCGTTACTATGCGTTGCGTCGCGTTACGTTGCATTGCGGTCCGTTGATATGCATTGGATTAGTTGCGTTGCGTTACGCTGCTTTGTATTGAATCGCATTGCTTTGCATTGCTTTGCCTTGCTCTTCATTGCATTGCTTAGCATTGCTCTTCCTTGCGTTACATTGCTTTGCATTGCATTGCTTTGTGCCACGTTGGCTTCATCACATGTATTGCCCTGTGTGGATTGCAAGACATCGCTGTTTAGTGCCCCCAGAGGTGTACAAAAAAGACGACAACAGTCGAGAGCGATGTATATACATGTAGAGAGAGAGAGAGAGAGGGAGAGGAAGAAAGGGAGATCAAGGACAGTCAGTGTAAGAGTGAAAGAGAGAGAGAGAGAGATAGAGAGACAGAGAGACAGAGACACTGAGAGAAAGAGATAGATCGAGAGAAAGAAAGACGAAATATAGGACAACGATGTGTACGAATAGTCAGACATAACACATAAGGGAGACTTATAGAGAGAGTGAGGGAGTGAATAAGATAATTCATGAGAGACGAATGCCCGACACCACCTGGCGCTCTGGCTGCTCGCGCAGCCAAGACAGGAACGCCGGCACCCGCCTCGTCAACCAGTCGGCGTCGGTCGCCTGGCCCGCCGCTTTTGACTCGGGAGGGGGTGCACCGACAGTGCGTCCAGCAGGAGCTCCCAGGCAACCTCAGACCCAGTGGTGCAGTCGAAGAGAGGCAGCAAGACGGCACCGCAAGAACACGAGCCCTGTCGAAGAAGGTCTGGGGCTCTAAGGATAACACTCCAAACGAGGGGCGCTCCAATGTAGAGAGCCCAAACAAGAATAATGTGACGGTCATGGCCCCTCCAGAGCTAGGGTTGTTAGTAACCCTGGTGCCAGCTGTATGCCTATTCGACCACCCTTCGGGGGTGATGAGGAGGTTCGGGGGGGGAACCGACGACGAACTCAATCAATCTGTACATCGATCTCACTATCGATCTCACAATCGATCGCACTATCGACCCCACAATCGACCTCACTATCGATCTCACCATCGATCACACTATCCCTCTCACGATCGAACTCACAATCGACCTCATGAACGATATCACTATCGATATTACTGTCCGTGTCACTATCGATCTCACTATCGATCACCATGTCAATATCACTTATCAATATCACGATCGATCTCAGTAGCGACCTCAGTAGCGACCTCAGTATCGACCTCAGTACCGACCTCAGTATCAATCTCACTATCGATCTCCATATAGATCTGACTATTGATCTCACTATCGCTCATTTGCCCTCCAGGTGACCTCACAACGACGCTGAATCAGATGGTCAGGAAGGCGGACGACCGAAACTCACCATATTTTGCATGTGTGCTTGTGTGCGTGCTGGTTCCTTGGCAGAGCTAGCCGTGGCGCTGCAGGGATCGTGCGTGTATGGGGGGCCACATGAATCGCACGGGACGCCAAGTGGAGCCCACCTCCCACCAGCTTCCTGGGCGGCGAAAGTGGTTTAGCGGACTGGCTCTTTCATCTCCCCTTCCCCTTCGGGGAGTTTCCCCCCACCCCCGCCCCGAGGGTCTGCAACCCCCTCCCCTCCCCCGCGAGCGGTCAGAGCGTCTAAGAAGGACCTCCGACATGCCGCCTGCACGCCCGAAATAACGCTACACGACGGCCCGAAGTAACCACGGAATGCGGTCAACTTTCGAAGGTCTTTGTTCTTGGTCCGCATGTTAGCTCCTCATGGGCTTCTGAAGCCTCAATTGGCCCCAACACGGATCAAGAGAGTCCCCAAGAGAGGCGACGAAGGATGCAACGACTCCATCTGAGGACCCCTAGGACACTCCAAGACATTCGAGCGCCACTACAACGACTTTGATGCTCTGTTTGCTTCGGTCGGGCGGGGGGGGGGCCGCCGAAGGCACCCAAGAGGGCCCCAGGCGAGCTTCGAAGGCCTCCAGAAAGGCCCGGAGAGAACTCCAAGCTGGCCCCAGGAAGGCGCCTTCCTGGTGGACTGCCGATTTCTTCGAGCTTCTCTGCCCTCGCGAAGGAATCAGACGTCAACTGGACAGGCCTCTTGCCATCGCTCGGACGTCCATTCCCCGTTCACTGTTTCGCTCTCGTGCGTGGTTTTTCCGAGAGAGGATCCAGGATTAGGTCGGGCACGTCCTCCTACATGTAGATTGTGGAAGAACAATGAAAAATTCGCCGGCCCAACGGGCCAGAGGCGTGCTAAGATCTCCTGTAACTACTTAACAATATTTCTAGTTCGCGCGCGCAGGGCGGCCCCTGGGGGGCCCCGGACGAAAAGTACCCCGGCTGATCCCCGGCCGGGTCCCAGGCGATCCCCAGGAGGGTGGCTATTTTTCGCCACCCCTCACGAGGATCGTGACCTCCGAGGGGGGGCTGCAATCGACTAGCCCCCCTCCCGCCCCAAGTGGCCCCCAAGAGCCCCCCAAGAGGTCCCAGGGAGCCCAAGACGCCGCCAAGGAGCCCCAAGACGCTTCCAAAAAGCCCCCAAGAGGCCCCCAAGACGGCCCCGAGAGGCCTCAAATAGCGCTCTAGGGCCGGCGAAGTGAGCGAAACGATTAATAAATAGCAAAGGAAGAATCAACAATAGTCAAAAGAGCACAGTTTACGATTCTTGAACATTTCTCCTGTAGAGGGACATGCCCGACGTAAATCTAGGATGCTCCTCGATGTTCCCCGCCGCGAACAACTGCACACGTCCGGACGATGTCAAGGCCTTCGCTGCACCCCTGCAGAAGGTCCTCCGGCTTATTCTTCCCAGCCATGCTTGCACTCTAGGGTTCTTATACAAAAGGCGCGCACGGACACACAAACAACTATACACAAATCCCCAGATGTCTTGTATCTTTCATACTTTCTGGGTTTTCGCCTCCCCTCACATTTCCCATATTTTCCTATATTTTCCAGGGAGTCGACGATGACTTGTGTCTGTGCTTTGTTTCCTGCATGCTTGCTTGGTGAGGACCTGGCCCGCGGTGTCGAAATTGTTCGCGCCTGGTTGGTGTCACATGAGCGATGACAACAACACGGTTTTGCGCGAGACGAAATGGCAACCTTACGCGGGGAGCCTACGCGCCAATGTCGGTGCAGTCGAACCCGTCTTCTTCCGTCGCGCATTTGGCTGGTGCCCCATTTCGGCGTCTTCGACGGTCGCGGTTTGCAAAGGGTGTGTTTTGCAACCCGCGCAGGGGTACAGCCGGGGCCCTGCAGAAGGAACCCTTTTCGTTGGGGAGGGGCTCGGTGCTCCTTGATTGTTCTACAGTTTGCCTTCTGTTTTCCTAAGGTTTCCCATGGGAAATCGAAGTTCAACTTCTGGAGAAAAGGGGCCTCGTTCCTTATTCAGAGTTCCTTAGGTCAACGCCTCCACTGTATGGGGCGGGCGAGGACCTCGACAGAGATCTCTGCCAGCCCCCGAGGAGGAGGCCTCCTCGAGCATTTTTTTTTTTACGATGCGAACAGGGCGCCCCGCGGCTGAAGAGAGAGGAGGAGGAGGAGGAGGAGGGGGGAGGAGGTGCACCGAATTACGAATTAACTTGTCTGGCGGCCCCGGCCGAGCCCTCAGCCGCGCCTCCAAGGCGGCCCGCCAAGCCTCCGAGCCACCGCCGGCACGCACCGCCGGCGTCAGCAGCAGCATCGCCGCCCGCGGGGGCAGCGCCAGCGCCCACCCCGGGCAGGGCCTCGCCGACAGCTGCGCCCACCGCGCCGCCGAAGCGCCGCAACGCAGGCACGCCACCCAGCCCGGGCCCTGCGCAGCTGCGTGCACCCTCCATGCGGCGCCTGCGAAGAGGGCGCGCGCTGCCTCGGCCGGCGCAGGAGGCGCGACGGCCCCGCCGGCCTCAATCGCTGCCCGGGTCCGCCGGCGCGGCGGCGGAGGGGGAGCCGGCGCCGCCTGCGCCGCGGGCGGCGGCTGAGCCCTCCTGGCGGCGCGGGGCCCTCGCGCGGCCGTCCAGCGGCGGCGCGCGCGCGGGCCCTCGGGCCCGCGGCTCTCGTGGTTGGCTCGCAAGGCCGCCAGCTCGACCGCGGCGAGCACGCGCTGCGCCGCGGCCAGCGCCGTCAGCTGGAAGTCGCGTTCCAAGCAGAGCGCGGGCGGGGGGAGGCGGACCCTGGCCGCTTCTCCCTCCAGGCGGTCGGCGGCCGCATTGCCCGCCCTGTCCTCAGCGGACAGCCCCCGGGCGAGCGCTTCCTCGGCAGTCGTGTGGCCCTTGACCCAGTGCGCCGTGAGGAAGCCGCTCCGGCTGTGCTCCGCGACTCGCTCCCAAAGGTCGGAGTGCGTCCAGTCGAGGTAGCACGCGCCGGCGCGCAGGGCGGCAACGCCATTGCGGACGTAGCGGGAGTCCGTGATGACCTCTACGGGCGCCCCCGCAAGGCTGACAGCTTGGGCCGCGGCGGTCAGCTCAGCCCGCTGCGCGGTCTGCGCCGCGTCCACCGGCCCGCTGTGGTCGCTCGTGCCGCGGGGTCCTTCCAGGCGCAGCCCCCAAGCCGCCCGGGCCATCAGCGGGTCCTGCGGCCGCTCGCACGCCCCGTCAGTCCAAGCCCTCCTGCGCGACTGGGGCGGCACGGGCATCTGGGCCGCCGGGAGCGGGGCTAGCGGCAGAGCCCGCGTGGCCTCCTCGGCGAGGGCGGCGAGCCGGACATCCGTCGCCAGCGCGCCCGTGTTCGCCACGCCCGGCGGCAGCCGCGCGCGCAGCGCGGCCTGCGAGATCCGCGCCGTCGCCAGGGCGGCGGCCCTGTCGGCGCCCCAGGCTGGGCAGACCCAGAAGCGGTGCTCGCGATCCTCGCAGGCGGCGCCGCAGTGCGGGCATCTGGCCGGCTTGCCCCACTTCGCCGCCACCGATTCTGTCACGACGTTCCCAGACAGCACTGCGCGCAAGGCCCCTGCCGCGTCCGGCGCGAGGGCCCCAGTCTCCAGCAGCCGCCTGGTTGCCCAGCGGTCCACCCCGCGCGCGACATGCGCGAAGTCAGCCCTTCTGCCTGCCACGGCAGCCGCTTCCCTGCGCGCCCATGCCTCGAGGAGCACAGCGCGCGTGGCCTGGAGCGGCTGGTCGGCCGGGCGCCACCCGTCTGGGCAAGCAGGGACGCCGGTCCAGCGCTCGACGTCGTCGCCGAGGCGGAGCTGCGCCAAGCTCCAGGCGGCCGCGGCGACAGGGCCGGCGCCGCGGCCGTGCCCGGCCGCGCGGGCTCCGTCCGTGGCCCGCCAGAGTGCCAAAGGAAAGCGCCCTCTGCGGAGCGCCTTCGACGCCTGCCACAACGGCGCGAGGGCGACGACCGCCGCTGGGTCCAGCCGCCACGTCGGGCTCAGGACCCCAAAGACCACCTCTGCGGCAGCGCGGAATCCGCCTCGGCACACAGCCTGCCGCGCAGCCGCCCGCAGCCCGGCCAGCTCCTTCGCAGGTGGGCGGCCGCACGAGGCGCCGTACAACCCCGCCGAAGTGCCGGCAGCAGCGCCCAGCATGCATCGGTGTCGGAACTCCAAGGGGAGCCGCCCGATCCGCGCAAACCGCACTCCAGCTGCGCGCGCCCTGGAGCCGGCAACGGCGCAGCGAGGCACCCGGCCCGCGGCGGCGACCACCCCGAGGTCACGGAACTGCCGCCCGGCAG